GGGTGGTGATGGTGTATGATGGTAGTGCTAGTGGTGATGATGGTGAGGGTGGTGATAGTGATGATGGTGGTGTATGATGGTAGTGCTAGTGGTGATGATGGTGAGGGTGGTGATAGTGATGATGGTGTTGGTGGTGATAGTGATGATGATGATGGTGTATGATGGTAGTGCTAGTGGTGATGATGGTGTTGGTGGTGATAGTGATGATGGTGTTGGTGGTGATAGTGATGATGGTGTTGGTGGTGATAGTGATGGTGTTGGTGGTGATAGTGATGATGGTGTTGGTGGTGATAGTGATGATGGTGGTGTATGGTGTATGATGCTGGTGATAGTAGTGGTGTCATTGATTTATTCCCTGGTCGTTGTAGTCTGTCTGTTTCTCTGTCAGTCATCGATATACTAGTGACAGGACGTGTGAGTTTGTCTGCCACTCACCCCACTAGAGAACACACCATCACTGTAAGAACTCTTCGTGTGCCTTAAAATAATACCACATAATACCAAAGTTTTGTTTATTTACAGTTATATTAGAATTAGATTTAGAGAATGATAGAAAATAATGATCAAAATTCTATTGATTATTATCTTTGATGTATGTATGTATGTATGTATGTATGTATGTATGTATTTTTCTGCTGAGAGAGAGAGAAGCACCACGGCGTCAGGCCCAGGAGAAGATGATTAATTAAGGCTATAACGTAATTAAGGTTGAAAATTGTTTAATAGAAGCAAAGTTATGTCCCGGAGTCACTTAGTGTTTAATAAGATACTTAGGAGCCCCATCAGGTGTAACGAGGAGACTGGGTGGTCATAACAACACCAATGATCTGTTTATAAAGTAAAGCTATGTGGTGCTTCAGAGGAGGTTTTATTTCCCCACTTAAATATGTTGATCTTACACAGGCATGATCCGCCGTCTAGGGCCACACTGCTCAGTAAGAATGATGGCGTAAGAATGATGGCATAAGAATGATGACGTAAGAATGATGACGTAAGAATGATGATGTAAGGAAGATGATATAAGAATTATTACTTAAGAATTATGACGTAAGTTTTAGCTGACACATTCTTGAATCTCTCTGAAAGACGCGTAAAATTTAGTGTACAAGTTATTCAGTATATCTCCAGTATAATGACCAAGATATATGACGTCTCCTCACGCTGATTTATAATACCTGTTCTGGATGAGTAATGTTCTATCTTTCTCAAAACCTTTACACTTTTATAATGAAACTTCTGGTTAGATTAGGTTAGGTTAGATTGGGTTAAGTTAGGTTTAGGTTAACTTAGATTGGGTTAAGTTAGGTTAGGTTAGGTTAGTAATGTTTTCGTCAAGTTTATTTTTGTGTATTATTTTTAAGTGTCTTTGTTATCTTACTGAAATGAAAAGGCTTTTGTCTTATTATCAAACATTTCGTTAATAAAGTCGAGGTTTTTCCTAAGTTTCACCTGTGTCACCAAGACCCAGTGAATGTTGTGTCATCGTCTCGTTAATATTGGGATGATAGCATTTAAATAAAGGTCAAAAACTATACTTGTAAAGGTTGATTATAACCTAAACCTCAACTTGGAAATTAAAACCCAACATTAAAAGGATTCACTGCACTCGATCACCTACACTTCCCAAACAGTAAAGTTCGATACCCATTCATAATAAGGTAAACAGAGGGTGCCCAGGGTGTGAACCGGCGTACCTTAGGACAAGAGGTGAGTGCTCTGTCCCTTCAGCCACCGCACTCCTTAAGAGACAGACGCTAATAATAAAACCACAATATATCGCTGCCGACCAACACACTGATACGCTTTGTTACTCCCAACTTAGGGATGTCGGTCAGCGGGCGTCGAACTGCGTTGGTATAATATTTTCTGTCTTTTGATGTGAGTTGACAAAATTAAAGAAATATCTAAGAGTTGCCTTTCATAAATAGTTAGATAGAACACACGGAAATATAAGAACATTTATAAATTATGAAGACTGACTTTAATGGAAACAGTAAAGACAACGAAGATAATTAATGATACAGATACAAGGAAGAAAATTCATATAATAGTTTACGAAAAATATATGGTAGTTGTTTAGTAGTAAAAGTTATGGGTGTTTAGCGTGTCTGTTAAACTGGTTATAAAGGAGAGTATCCTGAGGGCATAAATCAGAGTTAAAAACGTTCTTTGTCTCTAAGTGCCTCTGTTGTCTTGAAACGTCGTATCTTGGAGTTTTTATTAACAATTAGTGTGTGTGTGTGTGTGTGTGTGTGTGTGTGTGTGTGTGTGTGTGTGTGTGTGTGTGTGTGTGTGTAGTAGTGTGAAAGTCTCTCTCTCTCTCTCTCTCTCTCTCTCTCTCTCTCTCTCTCTCTCTCTCTCTCTCTCTCTCTCTCTCTCTCTCTTATCAACATCTCTTTATCTCAGTTCTATCTCTTACTCTTTCAAGCAAGGCGTCCATTCTTCCGGCACTCTGGCACTGACACCCAACACAGTACCACTTGTTCCTGGCACTCTGGCACCCAACACAACACCACTTGTCCCGCCGTAAGAGACACTTTTACACTGTTTCCACTCATTGTTTACATGCCTACACTTTATCAACCCGCCTCTCCCTCCTGGGTATGACTGATGTTCCATGTACAGGGACCGTCTTTTCCGTGTCTTTGGCTACGATTCTCAAAAACTTCCTCCCTCTTCAACCCTACCCTTCACCCACTCCCATCCCCTTCCCTTCCCACTTCCATCCCTTCCTTCCCTCCCTCCACCCATCCCTCCTCCCTCCCTTACCCCATCCTCCCTCCTCCACCCATCCCTCCCTCCCTCCACCCATCCCTCCCTCCCTCCCACCCTCCCTCCCTCCCTCCACCATCCCTCCCTCCTCCACCATCCTCCTCCCTCCACCCATCCCTCCCTCCCTCCACCCATCCCCTTGCCGGATCTCTTGTGTAGTATAGTGACAGTTGCCGGCCAGCGTGGAGTCGCCCTCATTACCACTTTGGACAGATTCTCAGAAGTGGGGTTTAACCATACTGGTACATTTGGAGTTTTAAAGACATTACACTTATCCATATAACTCAGTCAATTCATTTTGTTAATTATCTTACGACTTCAATAAATGGATGGTGGGGTTATTATCATTTATTAATCATAGATCATCACCTGAATACCTGTCATTAGCAACTATACCTTTAGGAATAACTTAGGGTAATTAGGATTTCAAATAAAGTATATATATCGCTGTTGTGGATTTGCGTTTTGTATCATAATTATTGTCTATCGTTATTAATGTCTGTTTGTATCATAATTATTATCTGTCTAGTGTTGTGAGCTGTACATGGATGGTTTTATATCACTCCCGGTAGACTGACGAGGATGGTGCCATAATCTGATTACCGAGTTTTTTTATCTCAGTCTTGGGGAAACACAACTTCTGTGCTGAGGAGATTTACTGTGATATATTTTAGCTTCTTTTATCTCCTTACGAGGATTAACAAAATGTTGTAAATAAGTCGTTGTTTCAGTTAGGTGTATATACCTGTATAAGAATATATATATATATATATATATATATATATATATATATATATATATATATATATATATATATATATATAAAATAGTAATGTCATCTTTATATTTTATCTTCCTACAGTAGCCAAACTCTTTGTCACTAACTCTCTCAAACTCATTTCCTACATAATCATCCCCCCCAACACACACACACACACACACACACACACACACACACACACACACACACACACACACACACACACACACACACACACACACACACACACACACACACACACACACACACACACACACACACTATTTTAAACTTATCGGTAAGATTCCTGAATAATTCAAAACCTTATTTAACTTTCATAGTGATGCCTTTTATCCCCCATCCCCCCTCGGCTCTAACAATCCCCCTCCCGCAAGCAGTCACACACCCCTCCCTCCCTCCCTGACAGCACACACCCCCTCCCTCTCCTGGCTGACACACCCCCCCTCTCTCCTGGCCTGACACGCACCCCCTCCCTCCCTGGCTGACACACATCCCCTCCTCCATCCCCGGCTAGCACCCTCCCCCCCTCTCCCGTCCCACCTCCCCTCTTTCTCAAAACCAAAACAAAACACTAAAAGAACAACTTATCTTTAAGGAACGAGAACGAAAATTTCCACATTGGAGAATTTGGGATGCATAGCACCTTCTTCCCCCGGCTCATTCAATCGACCAATCACGATACGTGGCTGATTTTTTTGTGGTCCGCCCTGAGAATTATTATGGAAATAGGACGTCGTCGCCACCACAAAACTTAACATATTCTGCAACTTTACCGGGGAAGGTGGTTGAGGGGGTGGGGGTAGGAGGGGAGGGAGAAGTGATAGGGGGATGGTGGAGGGAGGGTAGGGAGAGGGGCTTAGGTGGGAAACGGAGGGAGGGAGAGGAGGGGTGAATGAGTGAACAGGAAGTAAGTGGTGGGAGGGAAAGAAGGGAGGAAAGAGAAGTGATAGAGGAAATGTGGAGGAAAGGGAGAGAGAGGAGGGAAGAAGGAAGAGACAAAGTTTCTGTTAGACTGAGAAACGGATGACCTAACCTAACCTAACCTTCCTACAGTTCTCTTTAATATTCAGAAAATCCATAAAAAAATGTAAACTTTCTTCACTTCAGGTCATCTTCCTCACAGGCATCGTGGATATGACGCTGTTGTAGACATATGTGTGTGTGTACATGCCTCGCTCCTCCTCTCTTCACTAGCAATATGAGACTGTTTACTCCAGGGGACAGTTTACTAGCAGTGAGTAACGGGAGAAGGACCACATCTTAACAACCTATCAATGATGTGTTACACTATTTTCACGAAGGAAGGACTTTAGTACCTGAGATGTGCTCGAGGGAATAATTTCTTTCTTTTATCATGGTGATAGTCTTAAAGAATTATATTTATACAAGAGTTTATGTAATAGTCTTGATAAATCCTGGTAACTAACACTGGTTTATGTCTTTACAGGTTGCGCCGTCAGGATTAGGTAAGTACACACACTGGCGGTTTTAGAGACAGGATATATCACTATCTTGGGTTGGGGGCAGTGTTGAAATATGCCCAAATATGCCCATTTAAAGTTATAAATAGCTACAGGGAATGAATGAACACACTGGTATCATTCATTGGTTAGAAAGTGAGGATAAATTTTTGATACTGAGCCTTGCTTTATCCGGGAGCAGATTTTATTTATTTATTTTTTTGCATGTTTCTTACTAACACTGCTGACCGTTCAGTACTGGAGACCTAGCGGTGGTAATGGCAGGTGCTGAGGTAGATCAAGGCTTGTAGCAATGATAGCTTCAAGGTTAGGTTGGGTTAGGTTAGGTTAGGTTAGGTTTGGTTATAATGTCTAGATTTTACTAACACTTAGAATGTTTTTTTTAAGGTAGTGTAGTGTTTGTCTTGCAGGTGGAGGTAAGGTTATGTATTTTAGTACAATATAAATGCATTTTTCAGGTGCGGATGAAGTACATATGTATTTAATTCTGTTCATATACAAGTATGTGAAGTTCATGATACATGACGTTAAAGTTCATGTCTTTTTTAGTGTAACACAAAAGTAGTTTTTAATTTACATATAAAATACGTATGTATTTCACTGCAACACATGGAAACTTTTTTTCAGATGAAGTTAATATACCTGTATTTTTTCTGTTTTATTTAAATGTAAAGTTTATATCAGATAAAGGTAAGGGTTATGATTTTATTTCAGTAAAATGTATGTAAATTTTATTGTCTTTTCAGGTGAAGATAATGTACATGTATATTTTGGGTGTATCGTACCATGTAAATGATGAACACAGATCCCGAGTGTAAAGCTCAGTGTGTTAGTGAAATTTTGTCATTCGTCTCAGTTATCTCTTATGGAACTACAGTTGTTGACATGCTGGGAGACTCGTCTTTATGGGGCGGCGTCGCTGTCAGACAAGTTTCTGCTGGGTACCGGTATATGTAAATGTGTTTGGCAGTGAGAAGAGCTTCTGTGTCTTCTCCAGCCAGTGTTTCAACCATGCCCTTATTGGTAAACACATCCTGGGATTACAGTTGACCTTATGCACTGTCGTTCAGGTTGGTTGGGATGCCATATTTGACCCTCAGTACAGTATGTCAAAGCGGTGGGAAACTGCCCTGGCCAGGCTTTGCATTGGCCACTATAGACTACCACTTGGCCACTTGATGGTCTAAGAGTCCCAGCCAGTATGTGATGACTGCCTGGTCCCCCATGGCTGTAAGGCACTTAAGACACTTGCTGGTCGAGGGTTCTAGTCAGAGGGGGGGCGACATGTTCCCTGGACCCGGGGTTCTCCTCACAGGATAGAATATTTACATTTATCGAGAACTCTGGCCTGCTGTAGCGTATGTGACATTATGTGACATTTTTTGTTTATTTTTGTTTTGTTTAAATGAATTATGTGTTTTTTTATATTTTTATCTATAGGTCAATTTTGTGTGTGTGTGTGTGTCCAGAAGGCTCGTCGTCATTGTAACGCCATCATTATCTCATCTCCCACCACCATCACCACGTCATTATCATCCACATTACCACCACAGTTACCACAACTAATCTCCCACTTTCATCCCTGCTCTCACTACCACCACCATCACCACAAACCATCACTATCAACACCATTCCGCTCAGGCTGTGTGGTGAGTGTTGTGGTGCGTGTTGGGTCATTTAGTTGAAATTATACGGAATTCATCACCAGATTTCCATATACCAGGATGTGTAATGTGAGAGAGAGAGAGAGAGAGAGAGAGAGAGAGAGAGAGAGAGAGAGAGAGAGAGATAATCTGTGAGAAAATCTGAACATCTGTATTTAAAACTTAGTGATTGAAACACAAAAGATGGGGAGGGGGAATGGATGATAAAAATAAATGGTGGAAATGTGGTAAATACGGAGGAGGAGGAGAAGTAATAAATGAACGTGGGAAGAGAAACTGATGTAAGCCGTGTGCAGGGAGAGGAATAGGGAATAGGGAATATGTGGTTGGTTAGGTTAGGTTAGGATAGGATAGGTGTTTAGGTATGTGGATGGACAATAGAGTAATTCGTAAACTGAGTATCATGAATGTAAGAAGGATGAGTGTGTGTGTGTGTGTGTGTGTGTGTGTGTGTGTGTGTGTGTGTGTGTGTGTGTCATCCAATTCTGGCAACTAATCATTCTTCACGTCACTTACACTCTGTCTCACTTCTTTATCATTTGTCACTTTCTATTTCTTCATATTTCCCTTTAATTTAACACTTTCAATTTCTCCAACTCCTCAACAAGGTCTGTAGGTTTGTCTCTATCTCTCTCTTACCTATCTCCTTGTCTCTCTCTCTTTCTTTGTTATTTTCTCATTCTACGTCTCTCCTACCTATCTCTCATCCTCTCTCTTCCATTTTCTCATCTTACTCTCATCTCCACTTTCATTCTTGTAACTATCTCTCTTCTTTCTTCTTTCTCACCATTTCCTTCATTTCATTCTCAACTTCTGGTTTTCTTTCAGACTCTTGTGGTCGCTTTAACCCTCATCTACTGCATTCTTTCTATCATTCACTTCACTACTGCATTCCTTCTATCATTCACTTCACTACTGCACTCCTTCTATCACCCCTTGACCTTCAGTTTAGTGGCATTAATCTGAGGTCTTCATAACATCTCACTGGCAGCTGGTCGTGTCGTCTTGTCTCTGTCTCCTTCACATACACCCACCCAGCCAGCCTGTCTGCCCTTCCATCAGTCTCTCTTGTTTGTGTAGTCTCTTATCCTTCTTTACACACACACACACACACACACACACCCATGCTTATACACATACATGTATTTACAGACACACATGCACACATACAAACACATATATATATTTATTTACATACATACACTCATGCATACACACACCCAGAGAAACACACACACACACACACAGATCGAAAGATAGATGGATGACTGTAGGGAAGGATAGAGAGAGAGAGAGAGAGAGAGAGAGAGAGAGAGAGAGAGAGAGAGAGAGAGAGAGAGAGAGAGAGATTCTGACGTCCAACCTCCGACTTGATAACTTCACTCGGGCAAAAGTACCCCCCTCCACTCTCCCCCTCCCCCATCCCCCTACCCACCCACCCCCTCACTTGCCCTTTGAAACAATATGCTCAAGGTAACTTGGCCGTTATCATTTGCTTAATTGTTCCTTAAGCCGATTACCTAATGGGGAAGGTTCCTATAGAGAAAACTGTTCCTTTTATTCCATCCCTATAGCAGATTAGAGAGAACATAGTCGTTTGTTATTGATTTGGCTCGTGTTATTGTTATTGTTATTGTGTACTTCTCCCAACAGCTGAGAGATGATTACGGTTCACTTACGGTGGTCATTTGTGTTATGCTTAAGTATTTTGTTATTGTTATTGATGTTAGTGATGTTATTGTTGTTATTGATGTTATTGTTGTTATTGGTTATTGATGTTATTGTTGTTTTTGGTTATTGATGTTATTGTTGTTATTGATTATTGATGTTATTGTTGTTATTGTGTAATTATCCCCAAGGCCTTATTGTTATTATCATTAAGGTTATTGTTATTGATTTAGTTATTGTTGTTTCTAATTGAATGGTAAAACTATAAAACTTAAGGTTAAATGGTTGTAGTATAAGACTCATGAGACTCTGACAAGACTATAAGACTCCTGGATGGTATAAGACTCATGAGACTCTGGCAAGACTATAAGATTCCTGAGACTGAATTGAAGAATAAATATATAATCCTTAAATCATAAGAGACCTTAAACGCTTAAAGTATAATAGTATAAGACTCATATTATATATTTTGAATGGACTAAAAGTATAAGGCTCGTGAAACCAGAAGACCGAGGTTTAATATTCCTGGTGTCAATATTGAAGTATTATACCCTTACTATACTCCGAATGTTACTATAATAATACTCCTGATGTTACTATAATAATACTCCTGATATTTACTATAATAATACTCCTGATGTTACTATAATAATACTCCGAATGTTACTCTAATAATACTCCTGATGTTACTATAATAATACTCCTGATGCTAATATTAAAGTATATGTCTCTGGAGGTTCACAAGCCTATTATCCCAGCAGGTTGTTGGGAGTCGGACAAAAATCTCACTTGCTGAAACACTGGTAAGCTTAAGAGCCCCGAGGGATTGTGTGGGCATAACTGTGTCGTTTTTGTGTTGCTGGTGGAGCGTTTGTGTTTGTGTGTGTTTGTTTGTAGTGTGTGTGTGTGTGTGTGTTTGTAGTATGTGTGTGTCCTCTAATGTATCTCTAAAATTTCTTAACACAACTTTATCTTAACACTTATCAAAAAACTCATATTTCATTCAATAAACCATAATAGTATCCGTTTGTTTCAGTACATAAGCAAACACTCCCCCAGAGCCCAGGATTTAACTATAAACAAAAATATAAACACCATAAAACCCCCAAAAAACAAATACGCATCAATTTCTGAGCCAGGGACGGGATCAGGACGGAGCGGGGCGCTAATGGTCGGGGATTACATGTGCGTGAGCTTGTATGCGGGGCAGGACGTGCTTCGTGGTGGTAAGGCTTGGACGCTGTGTGCTGAGAGATAATCTAAGTGGTGAGAAACAAGTAGTGGTGAGGAATATTATCTGGGTGATGAGAGAGAGCTTACTCGCCCCTCCACACACACACACACACACACACAATATGTATAAAAGAAGGTATCGTGACAAGAAAAATAATTAAGGATCTAGTATGGTACCCTCCATTATGTAAATTTAAAAAGGTTAGTGAATGAATGTAATTTAAGTTATTTTTTTTTATAAAACTCATTCATGGGCTCTAATATCTATTGCCAGTGTGTGTGTGTGTGTGTGTGTGTGTGTGTGTGTGTGTGTGTGGTTCTCAAAAAGGAAGAATTAATGATGCATACATTCTCCCCAAAAATGATTTAACGAAGGGTGTGTCTGTCTGAACATTAGTTTCCCCAGAGACGTACGGTTGCAAAACACCCTTTAATAATATATCGTATTACCTCCAATAAATCATTCCACAAGATGTATATCCCTCCAAAATATGACTTAACTAAGATGTATCACCTGCGAAAATTGCCAGCCTCCCCCATTTCCTCCCCCTCCATCCTCTGAAAAAACACCAACTGCCTGAAATACCACTGAAGGCACACCCAAAAACAGCAAGACGCGGCGGGGGTAAACACTGGGTTCGTGGTAAACAAATAACATGGGCCGAGACTCTTGCTCCAGAAGGTGTAATTTCTGAACCCTGGATCTACTGTACAGCGGCAGCCAGACCTGAGACATTGTGAGTCTTATTCGTTTACTATATTACCAGTAGTTTAAATAGAATGACTTTGATTTTGAATTTTCCATTCCTTGAGGTTGGGTTAAAGTCATTCGTAAATATAAACTACTTTTTAAAATCTGATTATCTTCAACTAAACCCGAAATAATGAGTTTATATTTAAGAAAAAATGCTAGTAGGGCCTTACATACCCAAGATGAACTTAAGTTTAAAATCCTCAGTTAATGAAGAACGTACAAACACCCCCCACGGTGCACATAGAACTAAAACTCGGTCTACCAAGGAGCAATGACGCCAGACTCAAGGTATTATATATACTGAGGCACTCAAGTGGGTGAATCATCTTACTTGAGGATATATAACGTCGTGCTTAAGTTGTTGATGTATGTACAAGAGCTTTAATTGATGTATGTGATGGATCTAGAGCGGTGTTTTTATAAGGTCAAGTGCTGATACTTCACATTTAAAGCATCAGACTTAAATGAATAATCTTAATGAGATTTTAAACTACAGCGGGTAGAAATTGCGGTAAGTGGTTAATTAGATGTTATTTAAAGATTCAAGGATTGTTTTGTTTATTTATATTTAAAGTGGTCAAGTTATGTTACCCCCAATTTTTTTTAAAGGTTTCTAGAATGAAGTGAATCATTAATTAAAAGAGCTACAGGTGTTACAGGTGTTAATATACCTGAAAGACTTGAAACATACCTGGGAAATACCTGAGATCAAGAGGGGTCTCCATCATAATTTACTTTAACATCTAGGTATTATAATCAACACTGTTTGCTTAACTCTCTTACGTCAGGTAAATTTTCTGCCTTCCAGTTAAGTGATGTATACCTTGAGACGCCTCCCGCCACTCTGAACCTGGGGGGGGGAGGGCTGTGGTGTGGTGAGGAGGGGTGGGAGCGGGATGTGGATGCGTGGATATTGTGAAGTGCGGGGAGGATGGGGGGGGGCGTGTGGGGAGGAGAGGAGGTGTTGGGGAGTTAGTGAAGGAAGTGATGGGGGGGGCGTGTGGGGAGGAAGTGAAGGGAGTTTGTAGAGAGGAGGGAGGGAGATTTAGTGGGAAGGATGGAGGAAGGAAGAGACAGTGAGGAGGAAGGAGGAAAAGAATAGTTTACCGTGGAAGGTTCAGTGCCCATTCCTCATATATCTCCATTTCCTAACATCTCTCATCACCTGTCTCTTACTAATCTGCATCTCTCATCCTTAAACAACTATCTCCCATCGCTCAATATTTATAATAGTATCTCCTTTCATCCCAGCAGTTATCTCTCTGGTCATCTCGTATTTCTCATCAACTCCTAGTGTCTCTCTTACATCTTCTATCTTCAGTTAAATGTCTCTCATCTCTTCCTCACCTCAGTAATATCTCTTAATTTCAGCGACAACTTTTATGTCTCACCGCCAATCTCTCCTCACCAGCTGTCTCTTTCTCTCTCATCTATCAACTTCCCTAGTCTCTTAGTACACCTCCTTTTCTCTTCCTCTTAGGTGGTAGTAGGTGGTGGTAAATGATAAGGATTGTGGTTGATGGTGGTGATTTTTGTGGTAGGTGATGGTGGTTGGTCAGTGGCAATAATGATGATAGGTGGTAGTGGTTGTGGTAGTTTTTGTGGTAGTGTGTGTGTGTGTGTGTGTGTGTGTGTGTGTGTGTGTGTGTGTGTGTGTGTGTGTGTGTGTGTGTGTGTGTGTGGTTAAAACATCTTTGAATGAAATGTTCCAGATCAAAATTTCAGCGTCCGAACTTCCTAGACTGAAATACCTCTTGCTGTCAGACCACTCCAGGTTTCCGTTAGTCAGCCATTCTCTTCGTTTCTTCGCCTTTATGTCCAAAGTTTGACCTTTAAACATTATTTCTGTAAACAAATGAAATATCTAAGACTCGAGTTTGAATTTAAATCCCAAACGGCTTCGTAGAATAGCGTGTTCAGTTTAAATCAATAATTTATATGCATCGTTTTTTACCACGAACGCTGTATTTTGAAATTCGAATTGAAATTGAAATCTTAACCGCCTCGAAGTTGGTTGTTTCCACTTTCAATAACGTCTCTGTTCGGTGTTTTTTTGGGGGGGGAGGGGAACTGACTTTACACTTTATATCTGAATTTCAAATTTAAGTCTTAGCGCCTCTCGATAGGTTGTTGAAGATGAATCTGTTGTTGTTTCTGTACACACCATCGCGATGACGTCACGTGACCTGCAGTGCATCGAGGGTAAACAGTCCGTCATGTTTGTGTTTACGTAACTTATGTATGAGTTATGGGTCTAAACTACAGTGACTAACTTGTGAGGGACTGTTGAACAAGTTGGGGGGAAATGTTGTCATATGAGGAGGCAGGTGGCAGGTGAAGGGAGGTGGTAGGAGGCAGCTGAGGGGAGGTGGCAGGAGGCAGCTGAGGGAAGGTGGTAGGAGGCAGCTGAGGGGAGGTGGCAGGAGGCAGCTGAGGGGAGGTGGCAGGAGGCAGCTGAGGAGGCAGCTGAGGGAGGTGGCAGGAGGCAGGTGAGCGGGAGGTGGTGGAGGCAGGTGGCAGGAGGTGGGGAGGCTGGGGAGGTGGCAGGAGGCAGGTGAAGGGAGGTGGTAGGAGGCAGCTGAGGGAGGTGGCAGGAGGCAGGTGAGGGGGTGGCAGGGAGGCAGGTGGGGGAGGTGGCAGGGGGCAGCTGGGGGAGGTTGTAGGAGGCAACTGAGGGAGGAGGCAGGTGGCAGGTGAAGGGAGGCAGGAGGCAGCTGAGGGGAGGTGGCAGGAGGCAACTGAGGGGAGGTGGCAGGTGAAGGGAGGTGGCAGGTGAAGAGGAGGTGGCAGGAGGCAGCTGAGGGGAGGTGGCAGGGAGGGCAGCAGGGGGAGGTGGTGGAGGCAGGCAGGTGAAGGGAGGTGGCAGGTGAAGGGAGGTGTCAGGTGAGGGTAGGTGGCAGGAGGCGGGTAAGGGGTGGATAATGGCACAATAGCCTAAAGGATGAAGGTGAATCACTCAACAATTACCTGAGTGGTACACCTGACGGCTTCACCAATTACACCGTGAAGACTTACTGTACGCGACCCTGGAGGTACTGTACAATTAGGTCCTCAAGGTAACGATCATTAACCATTACCTTAAGTAGTGTACTTATATAAGGTGATGGTAATAGTCGTGCCATTCAACGGGACTCGCAGCAGTGTGGCCCGGACCTTGGCACCCATCACAGTGCATAATTACAAAGGTTTATTCTGGTGAGGTAGTGACTGGCAGCTGGTGCACGTAGACCTGATCACACACACACACACACACACACACACACACACACACACACACACACACACACACACACACACACACACACAGGGACTATAAGATTACTTTAAGACTATCTGTACCTTTTTTGCTCCCTGTAGACAGTGTGATCTCCTGTGAACATCCTGAGTATTACATATTTATTATTACTGCTTTATAATACTCACACATTATTAAATATGATGTTCCCGGACAGTCTCTATGAATAATCAGATCCACTTGAGCTGGCTGCCGTAGTTAGAGAAACACGAGCATAATACAGTGTGTTGGTCGCCAAGTTCCTCACCAGAGACACTGAAACTCTGAGACCTTTAGTGGAGTCAACCTAACCTAACCTAACCTAACCTAACCTAATCTAACCTAACCTAACCTAATCTAACCTAACCTTCCTGATACATAATGTCAGCGTTACAATGTGTTCAGTATGTGTTGGCACCCCTGTCATGGCGGCTTACAGTGAGCAGCACAAGTTCTCGGACATGAGAGATGATTTACTCAGTATAACACAAATAAAAGAATCATATTAAATTAAATCTTGATAGCATGGATGATATCAACTCAATTTTAATCTTATTACATCAGTACTGTCCGTTATTTTAGTCCGTTGACGGAATTTTCGAAAATTTGAATTTACATTTTAACGGCGCGGAAGTCGTTATCTCAAGGTTCGTTACAGGGAGGGTCGTTAATGACAGAGAGCGGCCGCTGTACGACCCGCCTCTTGAACAACCTCATTACTGCTCACGCAAGATGGGATAGTCTCTCTCTCTCTCTCTCTCTCTCTCTCTCTCTCTCTCTCTCTCTCATCATTCTTTAACTTTTCCCCTGGTTAATGGTGAGTGGTAGAGGATATATGTTGAACGCTACACTAGACCTGGTAGTGTTGGTTTTACTCCTCGTTTAATGTTATGCGTTAAGCGATACTCTTTACTTAAAACTAATGTAGCGAAATGCCATTATATACGGTTTTATAAGTAAGAGTTATTAAAGGTTTCTCCTAAGATAACTTCCAAGTAGGTGTTATCTCACGCCTACAGCAGCGATATAACTCCTCCTTCACTATATACTGTATGAATATTTAGTCTTCTTAACGGTAATAACAGTAAGAATAGCATAATGGAAGCAACAGAAGCGGCAACGGACTATATAGTATGTAGCAACGGGAGTACTATGTTATGTTAGGTTAGGTTATGTCAGGTTAGGTTAGATTAGGTTAGGTTAGGTTAGGTTAGGTTAGGTTAGGTTAGGTTAGGTTAGGTTAGGTTAGCATGTTTAATCATTAGGTGAAACAAGCAGAAGGTGTGGTGGGGGTTAATTGTGGTTTGTGTGTGGTGAGTGACACCATGCAGCCCCTATAGTGAGTGACACCATGCAGCCCCTATAGTGAGTGACACCGTGGGATGCCTCGCATAAAGGTTGTCTAAGAGGCCATTACACCGAGCTTTAAAGTGTGGGTGGTAGGCCAAGAGGTTTAAGGCCCCACGTGGAGGAATCGTGTCTTGAGGAACTATCTAAGGCAACTAGTTCATTGGGTTCACCTTTGACAGTTACTTAACCCCTAGATAGTAACGGACATAACAGCGGTAACAAGGTAGTAATGTAAGTAACGATATGAACAATGGTAATGTATATATAATGGTAATCTTCATCATTATCATCATCGTTGTTATCATCATCATCATCATCAAGGAGTAACATGAGGAGTTAGAAGCAGGTGGGTGGCGGTAATGGTGGTAGTGGTGGTGGTGGTAGTGGTGGTAGTAGTGGTGGTAATGGTGGTAGTAGTGGTGGTAGTAGTGGAGGCGGTGTGGTCCGGCTGCCAACACCACATGACTGCCTCCCACTCTTTGACAACTGTAGCGGTCAACAACACTAATGACAACCCGAGGCAGGGGTCTCTCTCTCTCTCTCTCTCTCTCTCTCTCTCTCTCTCTCTCTCTCTCTCTCTCTCTCTCTCTCTCTCTCTCTCTCCTCTCTCTCTCCTCTCTCTCCTCTCTCTCTCTCTCTTCTCTTCTTCCTCCTTCTACCCTGTTCCCCCTCTTCCCTACCCTGTCTCCTCCCCCTCTCCCCGACACACTCGCTCCTCACGCACCATTGGTTCTTTATTGATAGTACGCCCGATAATAATGTCTAATAATATACATACAGTTAAAACACCCTCGCCCCTTCCCCCTAGACCCGTATCCGGCCCGTTCAGTGACCCCAGAGACCCGTATCAAAGCGTTCAGTGACCCCAAGAGACCCGTATCGACCCGTTCAGTGACCCCATGAGCCCGTATCGACCCGTTCATTGACCCCCCAGAGAACCCGTATCGACCCGTTCGTGACCCCCAGGGGCCCGTATCCGGCCCGTTCAGTGACCCCCAGAGACCATGTCGACCGTTCGTGTTGGCCCCCCAGGGCCCGTATCGACCCGTTCAGTGACCCCCATAGACCCGTATCGACCCGTTCAATGGCCCCCAGAGACCCGTATAGACCCGTTCAGTGGCCCCCAAGAGACCCGTATCGACCCGTTCAGGCGGCCCCAGAGACCCGTATCGACCCGTTCAGTGACCCCAGAGACCCGTATGTACCCTTATATTACGATTCGAAGCTCCCCACGACACTCATCTATACACACAGTCATCTCATATATCACCTAACCCCAGAGAATACCCAGATCGATACCCCTAGAGACCCCAGAGGCACGACAAAGCCTTATAGCCCCCGGAGTTTTATTTCTCTTGAGGCCAACGTCAGGTGTGTGTGTGTGTGTGTGTGTGTGTGTGTGTGTGTGTGTGTGTGTGTGTGTGTGTACGTACAGAGTGACCACCTCCCAACACCTACACACACAAGCATCCAGGAGCAATGTTTACAAAATCTCTGAATTGGGTTAGGTTAGTTACGAGAGAGAGAGAGAGAGAGAGAGAGAGAGAGACAGAGAGTCAAGAGTTAGGTTAAAGAAAATAAGGGAAGTTAAGGAGAAGAGAAATAGAGATTCTAAAACATAATATAAACATCCTAAAATTTATTTAACACACACACACACACACACACACACACACACACACATACACACACACACATATACACACACACACACACACACACACACACACACACACACACACACACACACACACACACACACACACAGTTGTACTTTAAGCTTTGATTTTAGAATTCATCAATAAGCTGAGAGATCGCCAGGAGGGAATTTTAAAAGTGTGTGGGTTAGCATTTATAGCCCCATGTGGTATCTCTCTCTCTCTCTCTCTCTCTCTCTCTCTCTCTCTCTCTCTCTCTCTCTCTCTCTCTCTCTCATAAGCGCCATCTTTGTTCTTCCTACTCTCCTGAAATATCCTCTCCTCTCTCCCACCCCACACCCTTCCTCTTCTCCCTCCACGGCCTTTCTCCCCCACGTTCTCCTCCTCCTCCTCCTGCCTCCTCCTCCTCCTCCTCTTCCTCCTCCTCCTCCTCCTCCTCTCCTCCTCCTCCTACTCCTCTTTCTCCCTCCTACTCCTCCTCCCTCCTCCTGGAAATATTACCCCGCTATGGATTTTCCGGGAAACACTCGGTGTCGTTTTCCTGGTGACCCTGTCTACGGATTTTGGCGTTTGGAGGGAGGAGGAGGGAGAAGGAAAGAGAAAATAAAAAAAAAGGAGGGAGGAATAGGAGGAGGAAAATGAAGAGGACGAGGATATGGGGAAGAGAAAGAGAACAAGAGAAGGAGAAGGACGAGGATAAGGGGAAGAAGAGGAGGAGGAGTGGATAAGAAAAAAGGAGGGGACGGGAGGGGATGAGGAAGAGAAGACGAAAGAAGATCAAAAGAAGATGGAGATGAGAAACTTGAAGAAGGGAGGAGAAAGGGAAAATTAAGAGAAGGAAGAAGAAAAGGGAGAGATCAACCACTATTATTTACATATAAAACACATATCACCTGTTATCTTACCCCTCTCCCAGGTGTTCCTCCCTCTGTCGCCTCTTAGATTATTATGCGTGTTAGTCATGTGTTGTGTTCTTGATGTTATGTTGTGTTATATTGTGTTATTTATGTGTTATATTGTGTTATGCGTTATGTTATATGGCATCTATGCGTTATTTTGCGTTATTCGTGTCTTAGAGTGTCATTTTTACGGATGGTTCTCACGGATGGGTCACACGGATGGTTCTCCTGTACGTGATCTGTGACTCGTAAATTAGTGTGTATTGGATGGAGGGTCGGGGAGACGTGACGCTCGGAGTCGCAGCGAGAGAGAGAGAGAGAGAATATAGTGGAAGGGGGGGATGAGATGTGAGAGGAAGGAAGAAAAGAAAGAGGAGGGAGGAGGAAGGAAGAGGTGTTGGGTGAATGGGAATGAGGTGAGTGAGGCGAGAGAGTGAGGGGAGGGAGAGAGGAGAGGAGGAGAGGGGGCAGGATGACAAACTTTACCTACACTACCTGTTAGAATTATAGTGATTAAAGTGTGTGTGTGTGTGTGTGTGTGTGTGTGTGTGTGTGTGTGTGTGTGTGTGTGTGTGTGTGTGTGTGTTTATACGCTTTATAAATCTGGCCTTCTCGTCTCACACAAACACACAAACAAATACGACCTTACACTCACCATCTTCCCTATACACACAAACACCATCACCCCTTACACATAAACACACACACACACACACACACTGGTAAACACATTCTCTGTAGTCATGGCAAAAATTATGTTCCCGAGAAAACTTGATATCGGAAATTTTTCTTTGTAGCTGACACAAAACACCAGTTGTTTGGGGGCTAATTCTTGGCCCTTCCTCTCCCATAGTACTGCCCTTCCTCTCCCATAGTACTGCCCTTCCTCTTCCATAATACTGCCCTTCCTCTTCCATAGTACTGCCCTTCCTCTTCCATAGTACTGCCTTCCTCTTCCATAGTACTGCCCTTCCTCTTCCATAGTACTGCCCTTCCTCTTCCATAGTACCCTTCCTCTCCCATAGTACTGCCCTTCTCTCCCATAGTACTGCCCTTCCTCTCCCATAGTACTGCCCTTCCTCTTCCATAGTACTGCCTTCCTCTTCCATAGTACTGCCCTTCCTCTTCCATAGTACTGCCCTTCCTCTTCCATAGTACTGCCCTTCCTCTTCTCATCGTCTACCGGGTATAGATATTTTTTACTCTGAACCGAAAGAAAATTTGTTTGTGTGTCTTACTGTCGCGCTCTCTCTCTCTCTCTCTCTCTTATTCGTACTCCACCTGCACCTGTCTCGTTCTTCTTTCCTGATTTCTTCCAAAACTTTTTCCCCCTTTTTCCCCATTCCCTATTCTTTCTACGATTCCAAAATTTCCCTTTGCTCTCCCCCCTACTCTCCCTCTTTCGTACCCTTTCTTTTCTGTTTTTATGGCTCTTCATTGTCTATTTCTTTCTCTCTTTCTCTAATATAACCACCACCATCACACACACACACACACACACACACACACACACACACTTTCCCCTCCTCCCTGCCAACATTCCCTCACCCCTACCCCTCCTCCTCCTCCTCTCTTCCTCCCACACATCCTCTAACACTACCCTCCCACCCCCCCCTCCTTCCCTCTCCCTCTCCTCCGCCCCACTCCCTCTCCTCTTCTCGTCCAGACACATCTGCACCCGTGTCCCCTACACCTCCTCCTCCCACCCACACACACACACAACAACACACCTCCCACCTACCTTCCCCACCCACACACCCTCCTTCCTCCCACACACACACACACATACACACCCCTCCCTACCTCCCCTTCCCACGCACACCCCTCCTTCCCTCCCACACACACACAACACACCCTCCTTCCCTCCCACACACACACACGCCCCTCTTCCCTCCCACACACACACACACACCCCTCCTTCCCTCCCACACACATACACACCCCTCCTTCCCTCCCACACACACACACACCCTCCTTCCCTCCCGCCCCTCACCCAAATCGTTTACCAGAGAGGAAAAAACAAATCTTGAAATCAGAATGTACAAAATTTCTTGTTGAGGCTAAAGATGTTGACCAAGTAGAGTTGATCCTTGAGTGGGCTGATGCCTCTCCGCCTCTTGGTGACACACACACACACACACACACACACACACACACACACACACACACACACACACACGCCAATGTTAATGACCTGATTTGTTGTCTCTTAGTTACGACATTTAATGGTTAACTTACGAGCTTCTTGGAGGCTGAGATGTTTTTGATCTTAACTTAAAGCCGAACCAAATGAGTTGTAAAAGGACCAGAGCCAACCTTCAGACACACACACACACACACACACACACACACACACACACACACACACACATCACTTTAATGAGGCGAGTCTCTCTCTCTCTCTCTTCGTAACTTACAGCTTTCTGACTTTAACTTAGGACATCTTTTTTCTTAAGTTAAACCCAAGCAAATGACCTGTGAAAACACCAAAGGTAAGGTAGGGAATAAACCACTTACCTGAGACATAATGACTTCTGACAAACACAACCTTAGTTTTAATGTTTTTGTTTTTGTTGTTAATTTATTTAGGGTTCCTTAAACTGTCTTCCGTCCTGTTATGATATTTATCTTTTGTTTTTGTTCGTATTTGTTTACTTGTTTTAATATTTGTGGGGATTTTTTTTTGTTCTGTTCAACTTATTGTTCTTGCTGTGTGATAGTGTTCGTATTCATTTAACGTTGTGTTATCTTAACCTCGAGTGAGTCATGGTTATCTTTCATATATTTGACTATACTGAAGATAACTTCCTTTTGATGATGGGATATAATGATTTGAAAATATTGAGAAAAAATAATATTAATTACAGGATTTCCCAAGAGGCTTAATACTTGATGTGTTTTAAGTAAGATAGATATAGATTTTGAGTTGTCTTATAATAATAAATACATCATGGTGAGAAATTTATCTCTTTTGTATATCTTTAATTTAGGACTTCTCCACTTGTACACAGATTAGACGTACGACCTTACGACCCCACGACCTCACGACCTCACGACCCCACTACCTCACGACCTCACGACCCCACTACCTCACGACCTCACGACCTCACGACCCCACGACCCCACGACCTCACGACCTCTCACATGATAAATTTACGACCTTTCTACCTTTGCACATTTTAAACTTACGACACCCCAGGCATCTAAAATTACGACCTATCGACCTGAAAGATGTTTTAAATTACGACATTTTGATCTCCTTTTCGACCTCAGCTAAACGTTAACTTACGATCTCTTGACCCTAAGACGTATTGAGTTTATGAGAACTGGAGACTGAGGGAGGCGTTACTCCGCTCTCAGTAGCTAGTCCTTGTTAATTAGTTGTCTCTTGTTGTGGTGACTGAACTCTGCCCTCCTCTGACCCTCCCCAACAGCTGTGACATCTCTGACAACAGCTACCTACAGACTGGACAGTTGACCAGGCAGTAAGTGGGTCACGTCGCCACATATGCCAAGTTACCGCCAAAAATTTTCCCGGATTTTTTTTTTTAAATGTTAAAGATTTCTCCCCGTCGTAAGAGCGTGAATAAAAGTTCTTTAGTGAGCGATATATTCACGACGTGGAAATGTTTCTCGGAAGTAAAGCGAGGTAAATGTTGTGGCAGGATGGCATCAACGTCCCCAGAATTGTACCATCGAACTGCACCGAGAAATGTTTATGGTCAGGTTAGGCAATATTTTCGGTTTACAGTTTTAATATTAATGATTTATCTCTTATTAGGCGATATACAAAATATTTCTCTACTTATAGGAACTAAGAACAATTAGTCGTGATATTCTCTAAGTCTCCCGTCAGGTTCACTAAGATACACTACATCAAGTTAAAAGATGATATATTGAACTGAATTTTATCCTTAGAAAAATATAAAATAACATTGAGTGAGGAACATTTGGCCGCTAATACTGTCCCCGGGTCTTGAGGTATAAAGGTTTATCACATAGTTGAAATTTGTGTCAAACCTCGAGTAGTACATTATCCGTCACACACACACACACACACACACACACACACACACACACACACACACACACACACACACACCGTCGCAACAATTCCTAACCATTATCGTCACATCACATATGTTGACAAAACCTCAATGTCTGTTTCTGCCATTTATTTACGGAGTCTACGCTACAGCTCTGTGGTGTAATCTAGAGCGTGACGACCCTTTGTCAGGTGTTTGTTTGTTTGTCCAAGTCAAGTAAGCTGACAGATAAACAATGTGCGCGCATAACTTATCCATTATATAGAGGTCGGTGGGGTCGTCGATAGGGTAATTAAGATAAATAAATAAAACACGAGGAAGAGAGAGAAGAGACTGTCAGGGATATGTTTACAGGTCTGTTGGTTAGGTTAGGTTAGGTGTTTGGTGGGCGGTTGTAACTTATGCTCTCAGGTGGAAAGTTCAGTGATTCTTGTAATTATTCCTGAGTGAGATATAGGTGTTGTCAATACGCATACATAAACACAAGGAAACATTAAAGTATTATATTAAACCCGACATCAAAGGCATTGTGGCCAGCAGAGTGTGTGTTTGAGCGGTAATAATATAAGCAGTATGATGGTGTGTGATAGTCATTATTCATCCAGGGCCTGACGCTCACCTTTGAGGTCCTCCCTGAAGGTCTTCCACGAGTCCTTGAGGAAGAGTAATAGTTTCTTCTTCAGGAGGGTTACGGATAGTCCCTCAAGGAGAGTCTCTGGTAATACTGAGACTCTCTGATGCAGTTATGAGTTGATGGCGAAGTATTACCGGTGACAGAAACAGGACTCCTTCACACACACACACACACACACACTTTTTATTTACCTTTCTGAAGTCTAATCCATTTATTCCTTCACTGTCTCTCTCTCCTCATCTCTGCTCTCTCTCTCATGGGTCCAGGTTTCATCTCTATACATTAACGTCGAGTCAGTTCCTTAGTACGGGAAGGTGGGAAGGAAGTACGAGAAGGTGGGAAGGAAGTACGGGAAGGTGGGAAGGAAGTACGGGAAGGTGGGAAGGAAGTACGGGAAGGTGGGAAGGAAGTACGATAACGGTTCATTAGTAACGTAGTATTTATGTCCTGTTAACACCCAAAGTACGATACATTTGTTTGTTTTTATCGTAACTCGGGCCTTTTTAGATACGATGTCTCTGTCGGGATGGTACAGTATTTAGCTATCGTTTATCACTGAAGTATCCATAAGGTACGATAACATCTTGGGTACGAGTATCTTGTTTACATTTTAAATAGGTTGTGACTCATATCCCTACTAACAGTCTTGAGTACGATTTTGTTAAGGTACTCTCATTTTACGATAACATACAGGAGTACGATTATTCAGCTCCTCAAAGACCGATAATATACCCGTCTGAGTACGATAATTTACCCGTCTTGAGTACGACTGTAATGCCTCTGGAGACGACCATCATAACTTAGAGCTTTTACCGGGTATAAGACAACCGAACTGTCTTGAGTACGATAAACTTTATCCTCTCACAGTACAACAAACTCAGGGGCCGTTACCTTCACCGTGGGAGTTGCATATTATGGAACTTGTCTCAGCGGTAATGAGGAAATAGATTGAGGCAATGGAGGGGGGGGGGTTCCTTGATAGGTAATCTGGGTGTAGTAGATTCTCGGAGATTCTCGTTGATTCTTTTGAGATTCTCGTTGATTCTTTTGAGATTCTCGGAGATTCTCGGCGGTTCTCGTTGATTCTCGGAGATTCTCGTTGATTCTCGAAGATTCTCGGAGATTCTCGTTGATTCTCGGAGATATCAACCGGTTATTTTTGTCTCATTAGTGAGGGTAGGACGAAGCCTTTAGTTACGTGGGGATGATGGTTGTGTTGTTGACATTTTTCTTCACACGACAAGGCAGCGGTGTTCTCATGGCCCGCCCAGGTGTTGTAGGTGTGAGCTCTGAGTCTGAAACCTGCCAGGGAAACTTAACCCTTTGAGTCCTGAAGGGTTAATGATCGTCATCAAAGGGTTAACATACAGGTGAGAAGATACAGCATTCTCCTGCCTCCACACTACACCTAACCAGCCATAAAGCTTACACGACCCATTGTTACTCTTATATGGTCTCTTTCTTGAAGCTTAATCCGTTCTTGTATCTTTAGTCCACAAAAAAGGTGTCATTTATGGAGCTTAGGGGAGTCTGTGTCATGTAGTGTCCGTCTGAGCCGTAATATGAGGCCAGGTGTTGCTGTGTCCTAATAAGCTTATCAGGTGTGAGTAGGAAAAGGTGTTTGTTAATTTATCTACTCTTACAATCTCAAAAAAATTACTAGACCTAACTTTTATTTTTAAAATTTTCTCTCCAAATACCCAATCAGATTAAGATGAAAAGGTAATATGTAACATTTCCATTAGTCAACCAATCAGGGTAGCTCTCTTTCTCTCTCTCTCTCGAGTAAAAATATTGCCAGGAAACACTCCCACTCCACAGTACACCATCAGAATGACAGTCACTCTTACCAGTCTATCTAAACATGCTAAAGACACCACTGTTTGTTTCTTTCCTGAGTCACCCAATCAGACCATAACCTCCTCTCTAGCTGGGGACAGTGTGAGACCTCAGATATCAGGGGCACAGTAGATGGCAAGAGGGAGGAGGATTTACACACTAGAGAACTGTCAGGGTTCAGACTCGTAATTTACACCGTTCGGGGCTTCCGGATTATTTACATTAGTAACAAAAAATAAAGCAATTGTGATTTACATTTTTGGGTCCGTAGTCTTGAAAATACTCGAAGGATTTTATTTTTTTTCCTTTGGTCTCTTGTGATCACCTGAAGATTAGCACCTTCAGTTTATTTCACTTTAAGATAAATTACAATAACCTAACCTAAATTAACCTAACCTAACCTAACCATTTTAAACTGAACACAAACTGAACACGACTGAACACAAACTGAACACGACGGCTCATCCAACTTCCGCAATAACCCTAGAGAGTGAAGAAATTGAACACGCCGGTATATATAACAAGTTTATACAATAGCTGAACAGAGTGAACACATCGTAATGTTCACCCTGTACCCACGGCTCGTTCACTGTTAACACACTATTCTGAATTTGAATTTTTGGGCGATTCATCTGTGTGTGTTTTTATCTTAAATCGAAGGAGAAACTGTCTAGGGATGTTTTCAGCTTGAGTGGTATAGCTTATGAGGGATTAGGGGAGGGGGGGAGGAGGAGGGGGAGGGGAGGGGGGGTGAAGAGGTGGGACGTTAATGTGGGTGGCAGGTTAGTGAGGAGTACGTGTGTCTGTGTGTGTACCCTAGCAGACTACATCCAGCTGGTCACTTACATTGCACATCTGATAAAAAAGAAAACTTTGTATAATAACTTCTTAAACATTCTACTGACACTAAACGCCTCGGTAACTCAGCTCAACAAACTCTGACTTCAGACGACATCATGAGACAGAGAGACAGAGAGAGAGAGAGAGAGAGAGAGAGAGAGAGAGAGAGAGAGAGAGAGATGAATAATTCAGCTCTATACACATACATGTTTACGTCCTGACATAAATTATGGTAAATCTAAATCTGACAAAATGAATTTAAATCAACTTCATAACTTGTTTTTTTAATGACTAATCCACACAACTAATCTGCAGGCAGTTTGTCCTAATTATACTGTACAGTTAAATTAATATTAACTTTACAAAACAGTGACTCCGAGGTAAACTTGTTAATGGTAAAATGATGTTAAAACGGCAGATGCTTTGATGACACGACTCTCTCTCTCTCTCTCTCTCTAACCGTTTAATGACTTGATGTGTTGTAGTGTTTTGGCAGCCTGGCAGTTTATGTTATTTACTCTATATTTCCACCTCGGTCGTGACAGTTTATAATGTACAACCTGCCAGACACAACCAACACACATCACGGTACGAAATATAGCATTTAGATCACACACACACACATTGCTGCCACACACACACACACACATCGTGTAATCCGTCAACACAACATTTGCCTCTTACGTTATTGACACGTGAGAAACAAACACAAATTGGTGATCCACTCTCAATAGTCTCCCAGCAAGCCTGTTAATGATACAGACACGAAATTGATCATCCATCGTCATCAATCATCCTGAGTGACGTCACAAGTATTAACCTTT